TATGGATATATATATATCTTTTATCACACTAATTTTCCTATAGTTAATAATCATATGGATGTCAGCTTGATATATTAAAAAAGAGTTTTGAAATATTCAGGAAGCATTCTTTCACAGTTCCCCTTCCCCAGCAATGCACATTGCTATCTAAAAACAAAATTCAGGGCCAGGGATTTAGCTCAGTGGTTTCACCACCTGCTGTGCAAACGCAAGGACCCAAGTTTGATCCCCGGTACCAAAAAAATAAAAATAAAAATAAAAAATAATAAAAACAAAATTCAGATGAAAGTAATCAATTCTTTTAATGCTGAGTTAATTTACCATTTCTGGTTCCAAAGAACTTATAATGTTGTCCAAGCATAATATATATTTAGTCACCTGAAGAAGGTTTTACAAACAGCCCTGAAAACATAGAGGCTCAAGCACTGAAGATTATCCCTCAGCACTACTCCAGATATTAAGCTTTAGAAAGTAAAATTAAGCAGGGAGTTAGGTGTATTAAGAGAGCTCAGGACTAATGCAACAAAAACACATTTAATTGAATCAGGAGGTGGGATTTTCTTGTACCCTATTCTATAGTTAAGGTCAAGTGGTTTAAATGAACTTTATGAAAATAATTAAACAAAATACCAGTATCCCCACATTATCCAAATGGGGAAAGGAACTGTAGATACTACTAATACTGGAAGGAAGATCTTGCTAAGCATTAAGACATGTGTAAGTATTTAGGAAGAAAAAAATATTGAGTAAGCACAGATTTCCACTTGGTACATGCACAAAATTAGGTTTTTAAAAAGCCCTTTGTTATGTCTAGAATCCAAAATGGAACTGAGCTGGGTTTTAAGATAGTTCTTTCTCTGTGCCCAAGGCAAAGTAGGTGTATTTTAATTCTAGTGGTATGTATTCTACTCAAATAAATGAAAGTTCTCATCTACTCAGTCAGACATAACAAAGCTTCAGTGAGAATGAGAAGTGGAAAAAGGAAGATAAAAAAAGTCAAAGAAGTATTAGACAATTTATTAAAGAATATAGGTATCCAACTTTATAATCACACACACAGACACACACACACATCTTACCAAACAACAGTGAAGAATATATAATCCTCTCTTCTTTGAGTGCACTCTTTTCTCCACTAACATAAGATGACTATCCCTGAGAGAAAAATTTTTATTTAGGATAACTAGTTTTTTGAATACTATTCAGAGAGGACACCACAGTGAAACCAAGAAAAGATACTTTTCTAATAGGAGCAGCTCTGTGATGAATGTTATTTTGTGTGCATTTGTGTGTGTGTGTGTGTGTGTGTGTGTGTGTTTAAGGTTCATGAGTGCTTCATGAGTGCTTATGGATTGTATAAAGAGCAAAGCAAGCAGTGCATGTTTCTGCTTCCAACAACAAGTGGTAACTGTTAACAAAGCTGGTGTTCTGCGGATGTCTGAGAAACTAAAAGAGATTGACATTTTAGTCTGGAAAAAAAAGTAAGGATGTGAATTATTTTCCATATTCTGTGTCAGCATGTATTGGAGGAATCCACTTGGTATGGAATTCATATCTTCAATCACTTGAAGTAGAATATCTGTGTTTGTCTGTCACATTTTATCAAACATGCAACTATCAATCATATAGGAGAATTATACCTAGTAAAGCTTTGCCTGTAAACTGGCATGATGAAATCAA